CACATGCTTTTTGAACAGCTAAAGAGAGCAATCAGTACAACACCTGTTCTAGCTCTCCCAGATTTTTCTCTAGAATTTGTGGTGGAGACAGATGCTTCAGGTGGAGGAATTGAAATTGTGTTAGCCTAGCATAATAGACCTATAGCCTTCTTTAGCCAAGGCTTATCTGAAAGGAACAAAACTCTTTTAGTCTATGAAAGAGAATTACTAGCACTGGTTACTGCTGTACAAAAATGGAGGCCATACATGTTGGGAAGGCAATTCACTATTAAAACTGACCACCATAGTTTGAAATATCTATTGGAACAAAGGATAACTACTCCTAGCCAGCAGAAATGGCTGGTGAAGTTATTGGGGTTTGACTACACCATTTCTTACAAGAGTGGTAAAGACAATATAGTCGCAGATGCACTCTCCAGAAAAGATGAGTCTCTCCAACTTTTCAATATCTCAGGAGTGCAATCTCAATTGTTGAACATTTTCAAAGATTCATGGGATCAAGATGACAAATTTCAGAAGCTAGTTCAATCCGTTCAGGCAGGCAAGAATCCTAAGTCATACTACAAGTACTAAGCTGGCATTCTAAGCAGGAGGGGTAGGATGGTGGTAGGAACGTGGCTGAGCTCAGAAAGAATCTGATATCCTTTTACCATGATAGTCCAGGTGGTGGCCATTCTGGTATCACAACAATACTGCAAAGACTCAAGCAGGATTTTTATTGGAGGAAAATAAAATAAGATGTGTACTCTTACATTAGGTGCTGTGATGTCTGTAAAAAATGCAAGTGAGAAAATATTGCATATCCTGGCCTGTTACGGCCCTTGCCAATCCCTGATAGAATTTGGCAAGATATATCAATGAATTTCATAAAAGGATTTCCTAAAGCAGCTGGTCAGAAAGTCATTTTCGTGATGGTGGATAGGTTAAACAAAGTTGCCCACTTTATGCCACTCAAACATCCCTATTCAGCATTGGATGTTGCCCAGTCACTCATGGATAATGTGTTCAAGCTACACCATATGCCTAAGACCATTGTCTCTGATTGAGATACAGTTTTCACTTGCAAGTTTTGGAAGGAACTGTTCAAACTGCAGAAAGTATATCTCCTAACATCCACTTCTTACCATCCACAGACTGGTGGGCAGATAGAGGTAGTGAATATATATTTGAAATGCTACGTAAGATGTATGACATTTGAGAAACCTAGAGAATGGCCTCAATGGTTGACACTAGCAGAGTGGTGGTACAACACCACTTTTCATTTTGCCATCAATATGACCCCTTATGAAGCTGTATATGGTCAAAAGCCACCTCCACTACTGCCTTATATGGCTTTTGATTCTTAGTTGGACTTGGTGGATAAAAGCTTGCAAGCCAGAGAACCAACTCTCAGAAGTCTCAAATTTCACCTTCTAAGAGCTCGGAATAGAATGAAAGTTCAAGCTGATAAGGGAAGAACTGACAGGTCTTTTTCTGTATGAGATTGGGTATACATCAAGTTGCAACCTTATATACAGTTATCACTCAAGCCCCATAACATGCAAAAATTATCTGCCATGTTTTTTGGTCCTTTCAAGATCATTACAAGAGTGGGATCTGTGGCTTACACTTTAAATCTACCCCCTGATGCTAAATCCATCCAACTTTCCATGTCTCACAACTTAAGAAGAAGTTGGGATTTCGCACAGCTTATGTGACGCTGCTAGTGGTACACTCTGAAGCTGGTCCTACCCTCCTATTGCCTGAATCAGTTGTTTACAGAAGATTGATAAAAAAGAATGGCAAGCCTGCAACTCAACTGCTGATTAAATGGCTCGATGCTGTTGAGGAAGGGTTCACATGGGAAGACTATGAGACCTTTTGCAGGCAATTCCCTCAATTTAATCCTTGAGGACAAGGATTGTCTCAAGGGGGGAGTATTGATACAAGTTCAACTGAATCCACTTAGTGATTTCATATTTTGATTGCAGATTCTATACCATTGTAATTAGCTAATAGACGGTTGTTAGTTAAGGGCTTTTGCAACACACGTGACCATTAGTGAGACTGTGAGGCCGTTAGTAGTCTGTTAGCAAAGCTGTTAAGAAGTTAGTTATAACTAACTTCTGGAATCTTCCCTTCCCCTCCATTGCTCGATATATAGCAGATATCCAACTGTATGAGGTCATTGAGAATCATAGCAATAAGAATCTAATCTCTCATTCTTCTCTGCTCTTACTCTTTTTCTTCCTCGAGCTCAACTGTTCAGGAACAATTCTCCATTTTTGTTCCTTAGGTTAAGCTTAGTCTCTTTATAATTCTGTCTATTTGTATCAAGCTAATATGAAAATATAAAAACTATCAAGAGAATAAATTCTTTTCCTAAACAAGACCGTTTAGTGACTATATTTTGGATGCTAAGCTTCTCCTCCAAGAAGAGGATTAGTCAAATATGGTAGAAATCTACACTTTCTTTTTAGGAAAAGCAAAATTAATTATGGTAAACTATTTTTCTTCATTCAAGAAAAGGTAAAATTCAAATATGAAAAGAATTAGAACAAAAACCTAACATGATGTGCCTATATTATCAAGTGAAATAACTTTAGGATGGATTTCACCGATTTTATTTTAAAGGGAAAGAGGGAGACCGGGACATCAACTTTGCATTTATTTTTTTTTGGGAGAAATTGCATACTATTTTAGAGCTGCATGGAAGGAAAGTTTATTTCCTACCAAAGAAAATGAAATAACAAAACTCTAGATTATTGTCTCTTCATGCGTCTTTTACCGATGAAATGTCTATTTATAGATCTTCGATTCCACGATAAGGATGTTTTAGTGAATGTTGTTGCTGAAGAAATAATGATACCGTAAAACTGACAGGAATTCCTATTTTTTGTATCCTTAAAATCCCTGACCATAGAAAAAAAGTGTTCACTGACGATAAATACTAGTTATTCTCTTAAGATAAAGATTAGGACACAAGAAATATGTTGAGCTAACCTTAAATTAGTTTTAATGATTAACAAACAGTTGTTGAAGAATCAAATCTTTTGAAGATATTTGTTGTGCTAGCTGTGTTGCATATTTGTCAAAGCATATCAAAAAAATTAGGTTCATATACACTTATCAAAAGCTAGAAACTGATTTCTTATGCAAGTCGAATTCCTTGAATAACTTATTTTGTGGGCTACAAGTATTATGTCAAGTGGAGGAATTCGTGGTCAAAAGGATATATAAATATTGTTGCACTTGTATAAAAGGAAAAGATGTGTGGAAAATAAAAGGTATATGGAGTTGAAAAATTAAGGAAATCGAATCCTAGAGGGATTATTTTTTGTAACCGAATTATTTATGTTTTGGAGCTAAAATTGGAAAAAGGATTTGGCCAACCTCACATCCATATAGCGCATCATGTTGATGTTACTAAAGCTAATGCTACTTTGCGCAAATATAGAGAATCATTCAAGAACAATAGCAATCATAGCAAAATAGTGCTTTCAAGAATTCAAGCTGCACAACTGAAGAACCTAATTTTGGAGATGAAGCTATTTAGCTCTTTAGTTGTTGTTGAGTCTTGATTCATTGGTCTTAAATTGTAGCCTATTTTGCTTTTGAGGAGTGTGTTGTTGAGCTATCAAATTTGAGAGTTTGTTTAACTTTCTACACTAGAGTTTATAGTCTTGAAGGGGTTAAAGGTACTGAAGTTAATCTCTTTGGTTATAAAGTTGCAACCTAAAATTTAGCAACAATTGGATTGATTTTAGGGGGTAAGGTACTAGAATTTATATTATCTTTGGTTATTGAGTTGTAAACTAAAAGTGCTCTTTGAAGTTAGTAAAATTTGAGCAAATCTTATGAGGGTGTGTCATGATTCTTATTCCCTTGAACAAGTAGGTTTTTCACGTAAAAATCCTTGTGTTGTTTAACTTTTGCACTTCACTTTATATTTGTATATAACGTTTATGTTAAAGAACCACATCTTTGACACGCAAAAATCGGACAAGATACAATTCACCTCCCCTGGTGCATCCTAAAATAACAAATGATATCAAAGCAAGTTCTCTCAAGAAAAACTAACACCTGTGCATCCTGAAATAACAATTGGTATCAGAGCAAGTTCTCTCGAGAAAGATTAACACCTGAAAGGATCCGAGTGGTTACACCTTTGGGCGCCCAAAAAGGACAATCAACCACAAGGCCACCATATATTAGTTAGTGGCAAGTCAATTTAATCAGACCAGTGACTATTTTACTATTCCCTCCTGTACATAATAAGTGACCTTTTAGCCTTTGACATATTTTTTAATAAAATAGTAACTCCTAGAAAAAATAAGTATTTTGACTAAATTATCCTTAATTAAAATTTGTATATTGTTAACTTGACACATTGGATATGGCAAAAGAATACTTAAATAAGGGCAAATCCAAAATATAAAGTTAATTTTTTCTTGATTATATGAATTTTTTTTTATTTTGGACCAAAATAAAAAGGCAAAAAGTCGCTAAGCCACCCAAATTTTTCGGGTGAAATTCAAAAATAGCCAGATTCAAAAATGTAATTGAAAAATAGACACAGTTTCAAAAGTAATCGAAATTTAGCCAATTTTCATGCAAAGATAAATCTGAATGAAAATATTGTTCAAAATCCGGAAAATATTCCAGCATAATATACTGGAGTTCTAGTATAATATATTGGACTTCCAGCATAATATACTAGAGTTCCAGCATAATATAATGGTCCAGCATAATTTGTTGGAACTTCATACACATGTGCTTCAATCTCCACTATATTATACTGGAACTTTTCGTGTGTTGGAGTTCCAGCATAATATGCTAGAAGTTAATACACAGGTACAGCAAAATAGTGATTATTTTTCAATGACTTTGCAAATATTGACTATTTTTCAATTACCAGTCGGAAAACTGGCTAGCCCGTGCTATTTTCACAATTTTTTCGTGTTAAGTTGGGGCAACCTCTATCTACCAAGTAGTGCAAGTTGTTCTCTTTCTTTTTTGGCCTTAAATGCACAGCGGCCCAAACGCTGCCTTGGGGATGAAACCTTGACTTTCTGAGTTTCTAGCCAATACTGTAAGCTTATGCTCATTTGTTAATTTCCTGTGAGGAACATCTCTGCATTCCTAAGGGTGGTGCTATTTTCATACATGACTCTTAGTTTGGTAAAATAAAATCTTTTCCACAGAGAAAGAAAAGCAGAGAGTTGTGCTTAAGACTGAAAGCTTTCTAGTTGGTTAAATAAAATCTTTTCCACATTTCTCTAATCAGGGAGTTATGAGCTTGGTGTAGTTGTAGCAGTAAATAAGAGGCGTCACGTTGCTGCATCTGTAATTGGTTGCTGCTTAGACATTGTTGGAATTTGTAGCTGAGGGGGAAAAAAAACTGAGACTTGTGAGTAACTTCATAGCCAATTGGTAAGCAGTAACTTCATGATTAGTTGCTTGATTCCACTTCTTTACCATTTTCGTGTTAGCTGATTAAATACTTCTTCTTTTATTTTTCTTTTCTTTTCTCAATGTCTCAAGTGAAACCTGTTGTTTCGCCCGGTTGATTTGTCAAAGAACAGATTCTTGGATAAACTAAAGCAAATTATTGTTTCTGCTTGGGCTTTTAGTTTGTTAGGTTTGTTGCAGCAGAATTGTAGATTTTGTGTTAAAGCAGATAATGGTCAATGAATTTAGAATGGACCATTGGGAGACCAACGTTTAAAATCCAATCGAGTACACAAAAAAAGTGTTAGGTGATTTATTTCCATTTATATAAGCATTGGTGGTTAGAGTTACGTGATGCCTATGCTGGTGGGGAGGTTATAAACAGCCGACTAACCGAGGTGCACAAAGCTGGTTGGAACACTCCATTACAAAAGATCACTGTGGTAGAAGATTTAGCTTTATATTCACTATATTATGCCTTGTCAAGGACAAGGCTAGAGAGGTCTTGTTATACTACCATGTTGGCCAGTGTTAGAGCTGTACCTATGATCCGAAAATGCTTATAGTTCTACCTCTATTCCCTTTTCATTCAGTCTTTAGGGCTTAGTTGTAAGCTTAACGATTTCAAGATTTCGTTAGATTCTTTCATTTTCATTTTTTTCTTTCTGTTTTTGTGTTTGACTAGTCTAGGGGGACAAGGATATTGTGCTAGGTGATCTGGGGCATTCAGAGAGTCTTCGAGACTTTGGGTATTGTAACATTAGGGTCGTGGAGGTCATGGAGGCAATGCGTAAGATGAGCAGGGGCACAGCGACCGAGCCAGACGAAATTTCGGTCGAGTTTTGGAGGTGTGTGGGTAGAGTAGGCCTAGAGTTGCTGACTGGGCTGTTCAATGTTATTTTCAGAATGAAGAGGATGCCGGATGAGTGGAGGGTGGAGTACGGTGGTACTGTTGACAGGAACAAAGGTGATATCCAGTGTTGTAATAACTATAGAGGTATCAAGTTACTTAGTCATACCATGAAAGTTTGGGAGAGGGTGGTGGAAGTAACGGTGAGGAGGACTGTGTCTATATCTGACAACCAGTTCGGGTTCGTGCCGGGTCGATCGACTACGGAAGCTATCCACCTTATTAGGAGGTTGGTGGAACATTACAGGGATAGGAAGAAGGATCTGCACGTGGTGTTTATTGACCTGGAGATACAATATGATAAGGTCCCTAGGGAGGTTCTCTGGAGATGCCTAGAGGCAAAAGTTGTGCCAGTAGCTTACATTAGGGCGATCAAGGACATGTATGATGGAGCTAAGACTTGGTTTAGGACAGTGGGAGGCGACTCAGAGCATTTCCCGGTTGTTATGGATTACTTCAAGGATCTGCGCTCAGCCTGTTCTTATTTGCCCTGGTGGTGGACGCACTGACACACCACATTCAAGAGGAGGTGCTATGGTGTATGTTATTCGTTGACGACATAGTTCTGATTGATGAGATGCAAGGCGTTGTTAACGACATGCTGGAGGTTTGGAGGCACACCCTTGAGTCTAAGGGTTTCAAATTAAGTAGGACTAAGACAGAATATCTAGAATGCAAGTTCAGTCCGAGTCGGGGGAAGTGGGCATGGACGTGAGGCTTGGAGTACGTGTCATCCCCAATAGAAGTAGTTTTAAGTACCCGGGTTCGATTATCCAGGGGACAGAGAGATTGATAAGGACGTCACACACCGTATAGAGGTGGGGTGGATAAAATGGAGGTTAGCATCAGGAGTCCTGTGTAACAAGAGAGTGCCACCGTTAATCAAAGGTAAGTTCTATAGAGTCGTGGTTAGACCGGCCATGTTGTATGGGGCAGAGTGTTGGCCGGTTAAGAACTCTCATATCCAGAAGATGAAAGTGGCAGATATGAGGATGTTGAGGTGGATGTACATGCATATTAGGATGGATAAGATTAGGAATGAAGTTATTCGAGAGAAGGTGGCGTGGTTCCTATGGATGATAAGATGCGGGAAGTGAGACTCAGATGGTTCGGGCACGTGCGGAGGAGGAGCCCTGATGCTCCGGTGAGGAGCTGCGAGAGTTTGGCCCTTGCGAGGACGAGAAGAGGTAGAGGACGGCCTAAGATGTATTGGGGAGAGGTGATTAGACAGGACATGGCGTTGCTGCAGATTTCCGAGGACATGACCATTGATAGGAAAGTGTGGAGATCGAGCATTAGGGTTGTAGGTTAGGACGTAGTCGAGTCCAGAAGTGAGGCTAGTTCGATAGGGGTGGTCTTAGACTGCTGGGGGTTTACGTTGTGTTCTCACTATCCTTACGTTTTAATAGCATCGGGCTTTTTTTTTTGTTTTTTTTTCCTGGTTTTGTTTTTGCATTTCAACTATGTTCTAGTTTTTATGATGCTAATATTATTCCTCTGGTTTCTGCTTGATGTTACTAATATATTGTCCCTTCCTTTCCTTTCTCTTCTCATCTTTTCCGTCTTCTTGAGCTGAGGATCTTTCGGAAACAACCTCTCTACTCCTTCAGGGTAGGGGTAAGTAGTAACGGAGCTAGGATTTTCATTGAAGGAGTCAAAATATAAAGAAATAAACTCACCAATAAGTCAAGGGGTGTCATTATATAGTATATATACATATTTTTAAATAATTTACCGAGATAAACAGTGTATTTTTTCGACGAACGACACCCCTTGGGTGCATGTGGCTCCGCTATTGGGGGTAAGGTCTGCGTACACACTGCCCTCCCCAGACCCCACTTGTGGGATTTTGCTGGGTCGTCTTTGTTGTTGTTGTTGTTGTTGTTGTTTGACTGGTCTAGCAATTAGCTTCAGGTTTGTTGATATCACTAAAAAGTTTGGACATTGCAATGTTGTTGCATCAGTTTATAATTAGTACTGATAAGTTATCTGTGTAAAAGAGATCTTCCATTTGATAGGTTCGTTTAAGTTTCAATTTATTTCACAAATTAACGAAGTCTGCTGCACCAGTGAGCCACATACTTTAATCAAAGTAGATTTTTCTGAATAAGCTCATCCAAGTGCAGGATTTTGACTTTCTTCCTTTTCCAGCATTTAACTTTCAAGTCATTTGTCATGTGCAGATCCTTTGTAGTTTTGTTGCGACTGCAGAGACACAAAGAGACAGGGAATGGCTTATGCTGCTCTGACTTCCCTTATGGGAACTATTGAGAAAATTCTGCAACAAAACCCGTATGAGTATCCTGAGAAAGGAGAAGAAATGAAATTTCTACATGAAACTCTTGGTTCTTTGAGGTCCATTCTGGAGGATTCTGTGGAAAGAAGTGATCTTGAGATGATTAAAAGGTTGGAAGCAAAAACCACACAGATGGCATATGCACTAGAAGATAAACTTGAGTTAGCAATTGAAAGTGGAAATCTTGGAATCAGCTTGATCCAAATAAAAGGCGATATCGATTCCACCATGAATGACTGGATGAAGATCAAGACGAGCTATGAAAATAATGTCAAAGCTCTTCCAGCAAATGAAGGTGTTAGTCCCGATTCATCAAAACTTTCTTCGCAGCCAGAAAATGTTATGGTTGGCCACACCAATGAATTAGACATGATGTTGGATCATCTTACTAGGGGCTCACGTGAACTAAAAGTTGTCTCAATTGTTGGGATGGGGGGCATTGGTAAGACAACATTTGCGACAAGAATTTATTGTGATCCAGTAATCATTTCTCGCTTTGACACTCGCTCAATGGTTACTGTTTCACAAGAATTTTATGTTAGAAGGATACTTCTAGGCCTTCTTAATTCTATCATGTCAATTCCTCGAGAAATTTGTAACGAAAGTGATGGACAATTAGCAGATCGGCTACAAAAGGGTTTAAAAGGGAGGAGGTATTTGATTTTCATTGATGATATATGGAGCACTGAAGCATGGGATGATATGAAGCTATGTTTCCCAGATGATGGCAATGGAAGCCGAATATTACTGACCACTCGTAATACAGAGGTAGCTGAATATGCTAGCATGAATGAACCTCCCTTTCATCGCATGCGTCTTTTAAGTATCGATGAAAGTTGGAACCTCTTCCACTCAAAGGTTTTCACTCAAAAAGTATTTTCCTCTGAATTTGAGAATATAGGGAAAGAAGTTGTTAAAAAATGTCAAGGATTACCGCTAACAATCATCATAGTTGCTGGACTTCTCTCCAAAATCCATTCATTAGTTGAATGGGGAAATGTTGCTGAAGATGTGAACTCACTTTTATATGAGTGTCCTGATAAACAGTGCTCAAGACTTATTGATCTTAGTTACCGCCACTTGCCTCATCACATAAAAGCCTGTTTTCTTTATTTTGGAGTTTTTCAGGAAGACACTGAGATTAATGTCAAGAGACTTGTCAGGCTATGGGTTGCAGAGGGATTTCTTGAGGTAGAAAAGGATAAGAGCTTGGAAGAAGTGGCTAAGAAGTGTTTAGAAGATCTTATAGATAGAAGTTTAGTTTTCGCCGATAAGGGGAGTACTCGCAATGGAAAAATAAAGACATGCAAAATGCATGATCTTTTACATGGATTCTGCTTGAGAGAAGCTCAGAGAGAAAACTTTCTGCGTGTCATTCAAAAGAAAGATGATGATCATCATGCAAAGCCTGACCTCTTTCATCCAAAAGTTCATAGACGGATAAGTATCTCGAGTTGTGACAATATAAGTTATATTTTGATCATGATACTTACAACAAAGCCCGTTCGATTTTATTTTTGGGTAAGCCTTACTACATTCCGGATATCAAACTAGAGTACTCACGTTTCAAGCTATTGAGAGTATTAGATATAGCTACTGACACATTGAGAGGCATTTTCCCTAAGGATATCCTTTGCCTGTTTCACTTGAGATACCTGGCTTTTACCTATGCCGGATCTTTGGATTCTCCCCTGCATATGAGCCTTTGGAATCTTCAAACTTTTGTATTTGATTACCGGGTCTGTGGTTGTATATATTTTGTAGAAGAAATATGGAGGATGGCACAATTAAGGCATCTAAAGTTTAGCTTGAATTGCTTACCCCAACCTTCTCATGTCTCAACTGACGAAGAGAAGTGCTTGGTGCTGCAAAATTTGCAGACATTTTCTGGGTTGAATCCTTTAAATTGTACAAAGGAAGTGTTCAAAAGGATTCCCAATGTTAAGAAGCTAATGATTCTAGGACACAAGGTTCAATACAATGAGAGTGAAATGCCAGATTGCTTCAATGACCTTGTTAGTCTAGCTAAACTTGAGTCACTGGGTTTTTACATTCAAACAAATATTAACCACTTGAGTTTGTGCCTTCCTCCTCCAGGCAACTTTCCGCAGAACCTTAAGAAGTTGACATTTTGCTCTACGTGCATGCCTTGGAAGAATATGGACATTGTTGGTATGCTACCCAATCTTGAGGTACTTAAATTGAAGAACAGTGCTTGCATAGGTGAAGAGTGGGAACCATCTGAGAATGGGTTTTATCAACTGAAATTCTTGCTTTTAAGTAGCTCAGATCCCAAATACTGGAAGGCAACTAGTGACCATTTTCCACTCCTCAAGCATCTGGTGCTAAGACATTGCTATCATTTACAAGAGATACCTCTGGATTTCGCGGACAGTGTCACATTGCAGTCTATTGAGATAGAGAACTGCGAGCGTTCCGTTGTGACTTCTGCCGAGCGAATTCAGGAAGAGCAACGGAACCTGGGAGCTGATGATCTTGTAGTTCGTGCATACAGAATTCGAGGTACCTAAAATGTTTTCACCAAGCACTTCTCCCACTGCCCTATTTAATTAGGGGGTTAGTTTAATGCCTGGAAAAGGGGCTCGTTTTATTTCCCCCAAAAAGAAAGAAGACTTCAGTGAAAATCGCATGGAAGAAACTAGTCCCTCTCGCAAATTCATAGTCCTACATCATCTATTGAGTTAAAGTACAGTGAGATTGATTTCATTTTTCAAAACAAATTTACGTACTTAAAACATCAAAAGTTGCAACTTTTCTCATTTTAAAATGTCAAAAGATAAGCTGAAAATTTAGTCAGAGATCATTTAAGATTTTGAAAACGAAGTACGACACTTGTATTTTGAGATTGAGGGTGTAAGCAGACAAGTCGAAAAATAAAGAAAAGTAGAGGTATTTTGTTGCAAATTCCTATATTTTAGGAGATTGTCAAGGCTCACAAATGATCTTATTTTTAATCTGTTTAATATTCAACTTACTTTGTCCACTGTTTCTTTTACGGTGTACAGGTTGTGAAGATGTAGATCATAGTGGAAGTTAATCTGATTATTTTGTGCCACTTCTCTTCTTGTAAGTATTTCACATTGATGTTCTGCACTATACTGCTAAGAGAGTTGTGCATAGGCATAAGTTCATCCAGTCTTGTGAATACCTAACCTGATAAAGTGACCCGACTCTCCTCGTCAACTTATAAGTTCCATCCCCTTTTTAGTTTACAAGGCTTTTTAATATCTGTTGCTATATGATGGAATCTGTTAACACCTTCAACTGCACTTACTATAAGCATTTCTTTTGGTTGCATAGCTATCCTGTTTCATGTCAAAAAAAGGAAAATTATACGGGAGAGTCACTTTGTGCGGTGGTCTTTAAGCCATACCCAGTTTTCAAATTATTTTGCATCTACGCCCGTTTTTGTCTTAAAATAAGTTCAAAAGTACTACTTTGCCCTCCATCAAGATCTGGTCCATCTATACCCCAAAATAGATCACCAAAATCTGGTGTCTCATGCGCAGCCGCACGCTCCTCCATCACCGTCGTCAAACTTCCACCACCTCTATTGCTAATCTTCCACCACCTCCGCCGCTCCAATCTAGCGCAACGCTCTTCCTTCGCCCTTATCTTCGTCCCTAACACCTTTCTTTGTTACGCATATCTAATAAACAATAATCCTCTGTCACTAATTCCGACAACAGAGAATAATATTGTCATCTGCGCCGCTCATTCCGCTTCACCGTCCTCTAGTCATGTAGTCATCATCCTCAAGAATTTGAACCATTTTACCAATTACTACTCTTCAGAGATTGCACTACAATACACGCTTTGTAGTGATTCCTTTCTCTTCTGCCCGCACACTCTATGGGTTCGTGAAGTTGTTGTTTTCAACCATTAAAAAACTTCAGGCTTCGGGACCTGAAGTTCAACAATAGCAGCGTCTAACTTCAGACTCGAATGTCTGAAGTTTATACTCAAATATCTGTAGTATGTACCCATATGTCTTGAAGTTCATAGCCAAATGTCTGAGGTTCATACCCCAAATAACTGAAGTTTATAGCCTAAAGTTTATACCCAAATGACAGAAGTTCATAGCAAAATGTCTGAAGTTCATATCCCAGTGTCTGAAGTTTATATCATAAATGTCTAACATGCTTACTCATATGACAGTTTATAGCAAAATGTCCGAAGTTTTTCTTTTATTCTTTTATTCTCCTGTTGTATGTCATTTTTTACTTTGTTTTTCATCAGATTTAGATTCGGTTAACAGAAGTAATTTGGTTATGCATTGTAGAGGTTGAGCTACACTTTATGCAACTGGGGTTATTTCCTTTAAATTATTCATCATTTTAACAATTCAGGGGTATTATTTAATAATTTGGTTTTGCTGAAATCTTATTTTTGGTTGGTTTATCTGGAGTTGACGGGTAGCTCTTCTTTTTGTTTTGGTTGATTTTAAGGACATCAATCTAACTTGGTGTTGTCTGTAGTCATGTATCAGATATGTATTCATGTTCAGTTTCTCCACTCATCCAACGAATCTCACATTGCAGATTAATTTTGGAACTCCAAACAATTTGTTATGATATCCCGTTTTTCAGAATATTTTGTTTAGTTGGCCTATTGGAGTGTAAACTTCAGATCTGGGAGTCTGAAGTTCACCTGTAGCAGTGCAAAGTTCAGACCTCTGCTTTGTACTTAGCAAACTTCAGATTCCGAGGCCTGAAGTTCTCATGTAGTAGTGTAAAATTCAGATCTTTAAATCTGAAGTTCCCATGTGCAAACTTCAGGTCCCGAGGCCTGAAGTTCTCATGTAGTAGTGTAAAATTCAGATCTTTAAATCTGAAGTTCTCATGTGCAAACTTCAGATCTCAGACCTTTAGTAAGTCTTGTAGGAAAGAGCTCTTTTGTTTAATGCAAAGTATTTTCACTTGTCTTGTTTGTGTATTGAGTCTGTGAGTCAGCTTACTTTGTTGTCCCTTCCTTTATTTCTGAGTTCCCCTCGAGTAAAGTAGGGAGGTTAGTAATTGTAATGTTTACAAGATTAAACTTGGATGTCATTTTAACTAAAAATCTGGGCTTTGCTCATCATTGGGCCGCAGTAATTGCAACAGTTAGGTGTGTTTTTCGTTGAAATAGTACGGGCTAGCCAGTTTTCGGACTGATTATTCAAAAATAGCCAGCGTTTGCAAAGTCATTGAAAAATAGCCACTATTTTGCTGCAACAGGGACCGGTCCAGCATAATATACTGGAGATCGGTGCATTGAATTTCCAGCATATTATGCTGAAACTCCAACTAATGCTGTATTCTGGGCCGGGCCCGGGCCTAAATGGGCTAAACGGGCCTGGGCTTAAAGGTCCCCGGCTCTGGCGGTCTCGGGCTTCATGGGCTCAACGGGTGGAACCAGCCCATGACGGGCATAAGCCCACATGGTCCTGGGCTAAATGGGCCGGGCTCGCGGGCCCATACGGGCATAACGAGCTTTTTTATTTCCGGGCTATTTTTTTTTAAATTTTTTTTGTTTAAGGCAATTTCTTGTAAACCATATATGTATTATACATGGCTATATAAATATATGTAGTATATATAATATAGAAACCTAATTATTAAAGTACTTGAAGAAAAAGTAAAATAGCAAAACAATAGTAAAACTAAATTATCATGCATAATAAATTAATAACAAAGTAAAACATTAAGCATAAATACATCTAATAATTTTAAAATAACACAAATTGTCGAAAAATCTTAAAGACGAATTTCCGGATAAATACGCTCAAGATAATACTTTATATGCCTCCTTAAAATGCCTGTGGTACACCCTGAACGAAAATTTAAGACTCTTCCACAGTTCTTGCACTTTAATATTTGGCCTTCTTCATTTTCTTCAAGCACTTCAAAGTGTTGCGAAACAAATAAGCGCACTCTTTCCGGACGAGGCATGATTTAACTTGAAATTTGAGATTGAGACTTGAAGTCTTGAAAATTGGAGATTGAGAGATTGAGAGAAATTTAGATTGAGAAATGAGTATTGAGTATTGAAATGAAGAAGAGGGAGGGGGGTATTTATAGTTTTAGAGAAGGTTAGTTTTGTAAATTGAAAAAGAAAAAATAAAATAAAAAATAAGCTATTTGTGCAATATGACCGTTGGCAATGGTCATTGGGGGTGGGGCCCTCCTTTTGAAAAATCTTGTAATGTTTTGTAGTATATATAGTATGTTAGTATATCTATCTATATATATATAGAGTATATAGTATATATAGTATACTATACTATATATAGTATGTTATGTATATATATTTCCAAATATAATTTCTTGTAATGTTTTGTAGTATATATATATATATATATATATATATATATATATATATATATATATATATATATATATATATGTTATGTATATATATTATAGCTTATAAAGAATTGCAAGTTAAAGACAAAAAAATATTGCAAAGAGATATTCAAGGGAATGTCTTATAATTTTTATTACCAAAAATGGCATATCTTTCTTAGTCTTCTTCCCCCCAATGGAATGAGCACAA